AACCTCCCAAGGTTAGATGTTACATCTGTGTCACTGAGCTCATCACCATAGCTTTACAAGGTACAAAGTTAATTCTGTATTGCACTGAACTCTCCACAACCTCCCAAGGTTAGATGTTACATCTGTGTCACTGAGCTCATCACCATAACTTTACAAGGTACAAAGTTAATTCTGTATTGTACTGAACTATCCACAACCTCCCAAAGTTAGATGTTACATCTGTGTCACTGAGCTCATCACCATAACTTTACAAGGTACAAAGTTAATTCTGTATTGTACTGAACTATCCACAACCTCCCAAAGTTAGATGTTACATCTATGTCATACTGATCTGCAAAAGGCACAATCTACCTCCTGTTAATATTAAACATCGAACGTCACCCACACAACATACAATAATACCAAAACCGAAGCTAAAATGTAAGAAACCATTCGAAATATTTTGACCAAATAAACACGATACAATAACACCACCAGAGTGTAAATACCCAACTGAGAAAACAATAACTTCCATATTACCCGAATTAGAAAAAACAAAACAATATCCGTTTATTGAAAAAGTAAGGGAATTTCATTTTCTTTGTTTACTACCACATTTCTGCTATCTGTGTTTTCTTTTTCCATATGCCACACAGGAGCCACCCAAGATAAAATTTCAACAGAGAAGCAATTAAAAGAAAGTAATTTAACACCATAAGAAATAAATAGTTTGATAACGTTCCTTTGATAATGACCAGATGATAACTATGTGTTTAGCACCTTATTTAATTTATACAATAATTACTGTATTAAACTCCTATCAAGGTTTTTCTAAACGTGTCATTTTTGAATAGAAGTAACAAGAGGTTATATTATAATGACTGGGCATTAATATCCTGTAACAAATGTAAAACAATCTCGTAACGTGAAATACACAGATATTGAGTCATGCCTAAGTCATCCTTTGGTCTTTCGAGCATTACAGACAATTTATGCAGGTTTGTTTATCGTGCAAACTGGCCTTTGGGGCTAGTAACCCCAGAATTTTTCATATTAATCAACAATTCATAGCATTAAATATGGAATCTTTGTAACTTGTATATCAAAGCATTCTTTGTATTTGTTGTATTCATTACTAAGATCCTCCGAGAGAAAGGAAAGAAGAGTGTATAATGATATTTCTATATATATATATACCTTTTATATCCAATGCCGACGAGGTCGTCCGTCCAATACTAGGACTCAGATAGAAATACCCAAGTACCCGGGGGGCACGCGTACTTCCTCTGTGAAGGTTTTTTGTGCTTATGAGCTACTTGCGCTGTGGCCACGGAGATATCGAAGCCCAAACTTTAGCGTCATAAGCTGAGCACCAGAGGGGTGTGGGGTAGCATTTAGTGTTTAATATGATGAGAAATTATTTCTACTGCTGTCGCTTCATATTATGCATGATTTATTTGTTCCAGTAACTGAAAAACATACAGTGCTCTTGTGATTAAACTGAGACCACAAATCCATATTTTATACGATCAAGGCTGATTATGGTTCGTATATATTTTCACCTATATATTCATTGGCCATTAGTCATTGTTAAGCGTAGTGATGATAGATTAACAAGAAATAGATATCTACTTCTATTAAAAAAATGATGTAAAATGTATAACTGTATATGTATGCTTTATTTGACTAACGTAATATCAGAATGCGAAAAGCCGAGAAGGTAGTATGTGTCATGCAGTACGTCATCAAGTAAGAAGGGTTCTCAATGACTAGGTATCAAAAGTGCGCCTCCTAAAGTGTTACTTTCTTGTAGGAAAACATAGGTCAGGCCACATTTTTATTTAGCTTGAATTACTGTACTTTCCTGTTATAAAATAAAAACACGTGAATATCTGAACTGAAAAATAAATTTCTAAAAGGCCCGGCATGGCCAGGTGGTTAGGGCGCTCGATTCGCAATCTGAGAGTCGCGGGTTGGAATCCCCGTCCCACCAAACATGCTCGCCCTTTCAGCTGTGGGGGCGTTATAAAGTTACGGTCAATACCACTATTCGTTGGTAAAAGAGCAGCCCAAGAGTTAGCGATGGGTGGTGATGACTAGCAGCCTTCCCTCTAGTCTTACACTGCTAAATTAGGGACAGCTAGCGCAAATAGCCCTCGTGTAGCTTTGCGCGAGATTCAAAACAAACAAACAAACAAGCTTTCTGAAAAAGTTTTAACACTGAATCGTTTCGAAAGGATCGTTTACAGATGGATAACAGGCTAGCGCATACAATAGTGACTTAATTTGTGAAGGCAACATTTGTATTGCGAAAAACTAGTCAGATAATTTTCTGCCTAAGTCAGCAGTCAGGTTTAGAGATCTATGTGGTTCAAGTGTAGCGTAACTAATATTGAAATACTGACCAGAGAGAGAAGTCATCTAGCCAGCAGCACCCGCCACCATAAAGGCTTTGTTCTGCCCTTTGAACACAACAACAAGATTCATTGTCACTTTTATAACAAGTACACAGATGAAAGTGTTTAGAGATGTCCTGGATTCGTAGTCCGAAACGTTAACCGCTGGGTCATGCCTGGCCCACAGTAAAATCGCTCTAGTCTTTAGTTATTAGTTGAGTATAGAAAATAAGTATTGACCAGTTAAGACCCTCAGTCTGTGTAAATCTGTTAAACAGGATGGTAGAAAAAGTCATAGACTTAGAATTTCACAAAGTCAAAGTCTCACAAGATAGGTCACAATATTACTGAGAACACTGAACTGTTTAAATCTGTTTAAACAGGATGGTAGAAAAAGTCATAGATTTAGAATTTCACAAGGTCAAAGTCTCACAAGATAGGTCACAATATTACTGAGAACACTGTACTGTTTGATGATTTAAAAGTCAAATACAAAGTTTTTAGCTGATTTAAGGTTGTTTTAATATTTGGATCTCTCAAAGCTTAAGGAAGAATCAAGATGTTGGTAATGAGAATATGAACACTGGATAATTTTCGGTAATTTCGTTAAAAAAAATAAAAAAATAACAACACCTTTTCTCAAGAGACTGTTCACAAACACCACGACTCAAGCTTCTGAGCAATGTCGTGATTTAAATAATGATATAGAAATTGATTATGGACCTTTTCCGTAAATAATTGCTCTTGGAGCATAATTGTTCATGTTTTTTACAGAACATTCATCTTGCAATATATGTGACACAGTGATCACGTGGTATAATTCAGCGTCATCTCATACATAGCAGGATAGTTGTACGTGTGTGTGTATTCTGATGTTTTATTTCCTATTGTTAACCACCAATTATATTAACCAGTATACATACCTGATGCGTTGTATTTTCTGACTTTTTCTTTAAGGAATCCTTTTACGAATAACCGCGCACCCTAGAAACAAGAAACAAACCGAAGTTATTAATACTCTTGAAAATATACAAAAACATATACTTCACGTTTATAGATACTTTTTCTAAGCTTTTAGATATTTATTTTTAGAATTGCGTGTTTAAAGTGAGAACAACTGTTTTCTACCGATCTATAAAACAGGTCTTGGTAGTCATCATTTTCTGGATATAGAGTAAGGTAATAATGTTTACTTTTTATATCTTCATTTTATCCATATCCCAACAAATGACACACACATTAAATTTTCGAACTATCTTTTTAAAATAACAACAATGAAAATAGACAACTAATAGTTGTGAAGTACAGTCGTTGTCTCGTTAAGCTGTAGGCAATAGAGCGTTAAACAATCGTGCCATTTTCTACCCACTTCGCTGGTAGTATGCGAAATTAATTCATGGATATGCTACTGTGAAAGAAAACCATAACTTTTAAATGCTTGAATGCAAGGAGTTTGTAATTTGGAATGGTTGGAGCGACCTCTAGGTCAATTAGCAAAGTAGAGCCGTTGATATAATCTGGAGATCAAGTTTGAAGTATAATATCAATCAGAAGGTTTTAAGTTCGACTGTTAAGTTTAGGATCACTGATAATACATTCGATGTTAGTGTGTCAGGTTCCAGTGTCACAGTATTTGCAATCCAAAAATCTCAGTTTGAATTGTTAGTGTGTTTCCATATGGATTTGAATTGTGATATAAAAAAAGGAAAAGTAGAGTCTACTACGTATAATGTAAAGAAGAATACAAATTGGGGTAAATTCGCCGCAGAAAATTCA